CATTGATGAGTTTACCACTAGAACAACAACTTTTAACTCTAATTTATCTCAGCAAAATAAGATCGAGTTGACTGATCTTATTTGTAAAGACATTTTTCATGTTTCAATTCAAGAATAATTCTCAGCCTTTGACTACAAAATAAGTACCTGAATATCAGAGCCATCCAAACAAGCAGTTAATTCAGCCATGACAACAGAAAACCTCTCTTGATTGAGGATGTGAAGTCTTGGGTCATATCTATCTCTCATAGTTCCACAGATTTAATTTTAGGATGCTATATACAGCCAAGTGAACTGGTTATGGTACGTAGACAATGTACCACTCCGTGACAAGGTGAGTTTCCTGATTTTTGGAGTGATCCACCAAAAACGTCAAAGGAGAAACTGTGATGAAATCAATAAAACATTCGAGAGGTTTTCAAAAAGAACAAATAAGAATTAAGATGAAGAAGAGTGCTAATCCCATAAAGGCTAAATAGCAAATAAAATTCAAAAACCAAAAGCATCCAGGATGAGGAGACAGCAGCAACACATAGTACCACCTTTGACGCCTGAATGTAAAAGAAACAAATAAGACCTATATTAACTACTTTCCCAATTTCCATTACACTTTAATTAACTGAATCACATAACAAGAAGGAATTTCTATTAGTTAATGCAGGCCCAGAGTAACACAAAGTTTAGGTGAGTACATAGAGCAAAATGAGAAAGAAAAAGTGGGAAACTGCATCAGCAGCTAGCAAAAAAAGGAGAAATGCCACAAATAGAACTTACAATAAATTGAGGTTGCTAAACAAATTCAAGTGTTTGACCTTACTGAAATGGTTTCTGGGTGTTAAACAAATAAACCTTATAATAAATTAAGGTTGTTGCACAATTTCTTAATGGAACAGTTTACATTCTTGATAAATGAATTGCCTTTGAATGTCAAATCATGATTAAGTTATCAGGATGGCCAAAAATAGATTAAATTATCAAAAAATTTTACTTAAAGCAAACAGTTGCAGAGAAATACATAGATGCAAAAGTAAGCTTGAAAATCACAGCCATTAATGCATGATTTTAAGTGGTAGGCCCACATCATCCTAGGACAAATCAGGAAAGAAATCAAATGGACAAATTAAACAAACTTAACCTTGAGCAAATGGTTGAGGCATTTATTCTTATTTTTAATTTGCAGTTGGTTCACTCGGCCATGTCATTTTAGAAAAAGAAGCAATAGATGAAAATGTTGCATGCACAAGTTTTCACAAAATGACTCCCACTTCTACCTTCTGAAAATCCAACACATGGAAGTCTACTTAAAGAGATCTTTGCTGGTAAAAAAATAGTCAACGATATACCAACATAAAAGAAAATGACAACAGGCAGTGGCATGCAGATCTAAAAAAGCATCATTATTTGTCACAATTTATTATGAAATGAGTTACACATTATCCTGCAAACCCGACAAACTAACTGACCTGAAAAGCTGAAAACTGAGATTACAGCTTCATCTCCAATAATAGTGAGCGAACGGAAACAGCACGACTGCCCAACAATCAAAGCAACTGAATTCAATTAACAGAATCAGAAAGTAAAACAAGAAATCACTTCCCTTGAGGAATGTGACCTCGCAGCAATAACAAAATATCTTAAGAAAACAAAGGAAAACATGAAAAGAAAAATATCCATCAAGTACAACTTTCTTTATTTTAGCTGCTCATTACATACAAGAAGTAATTCATAAGACAATGCAATATCAATGACAATAACAGGTATAGACATTTTTCATGTTTCAACGATAACTCTCAGCCTTTGACACGGTAAAACAATTACTTGAATATCAGAGCCATCAAGCAATTACTTTAGCCATGACAACAGAAGCCTTTCCTGAGAAGCCTTTCCTGAGGATGTAATTTTTGGTCATCACCCTCTGAGCTCCACAGACTCTCAATCTTAGAATGCTTGCTAGATATACCATTTGTAAGAAAAATATCCATTGATAAGTTCAGAGAAAAACAACAAATTTAACTCTAATTTGTCTTGCCAAAATAAGAATAAATTTCTACCTAGGCATATGCAGCATAGAAATATCCAAAATTTTAAAGTTGAAGTAGTAAAGGAAAACACGTTAATTTATTCCCCACAGAGAAAATTACAATTTTCCCCTGTAGGATGGATATTTATATGTCGAGACAGAAGGAAAACACCAAAGAAAATTACCTGCGCTTGAATCAGATCACCAGCCAAAGAATAAGACTTCAATTTGGCGATGGCTAGAGAGCAGAGGTTGTTGGGTTCATCCCTCACCCAGCCCTCCTAAGTCCTAAGTACTAATCCTTCTCGAAATCGTTCAGCTTGCATCCAACAACACATCCGTCAGATGCGTCTGCTTCAACATTGATTGGAGAAATATGGTGAAAGAAGTTTGGGGGTCCAATATTAAGAAATTTTCATATTTATTCAGTAAAACACACCGTTCAAAGGCAACCAAACCATAGGAAGAGAGAATATGATATGAAGAGATAGATCAACACATTACGATAAGAAAATACAGTAAGAAAATACATGAGAACTTTGTGCAGAGCAGATAGATCAAATCTAAAAGAAATCAACACAAATTCATACAGTACTCAAAAGTAGATCGGATGCTGCAACTATATATCAACAACGAACATGTAAAAGATGAAAACAAACTCATGAAGCAACGCAAAACAAAGCTTATATATGCACACATTATTTGTTGTCAGATCTTCCCAGTGTAGGAAATCAATTCCACCTGCTTGCACCTATGTAAAATAAAACAAAATTAGAAAAATTAACTTTCACTATTATATAATAATATGCCTTGTTTGTTATGGTTATATTGTATAGAACTTAGAAACAACACACAAAATCACAAATAATATAGAGAGAGTTGTAGAAACTTACTCAACTAACAGCGTTGGTTGGGTTTTTGGGTTTTTTTCTCTTCTTATGCCTGCCGTTGCATCTTCCAACAAATTTTTGCTGATATTTCTCCACCTTCTTCACTACCCACATGGTTTTCCTGTCGTGAACGCAATGTATGCCAGACTAAGTTCCAACACTAGTCCACACCCATAACCCGTTAATGCAAACTTCCATTCAAAGATTGTAGCAGAGTCATCTTCTTCTTCATCAAATTTTGATGGAGATGCTCCTGGTTCTTCCTCGTTGTGGCATTTCTTTGTCAATGGTAATCCACACAACCCTGAATTCCCAATGTAGGAATCATTTGAGAAAGTATTGAGCTGCTTCCCTTCAGGAATCATACCCACAAGATAGACTTTTTTCTTCTTTTTTCTTCTTTTTTTTTACCTCTAATTTAAAATTTTTGTCATGTGTAATGTATTCAGAAGGACAACAAAAACATTAAAGGATTAGATAATAACTTTTAAAATTTTTTTTAAAAAAAATTCTAGATAATAAAATTAAATAAATTTTTTTATTAAAATAGAATGATCAAAATTCATTTTGATCTAAAATATTCTTAATTTGGAGACATAAAATTTCACTCCTATTGGCTACAAACCATAGGAAAGTTATTTTTTTTTTTTTGAGGGAAAGGAAAATTTCATATATTAGATAGAGTAAGATTACAGGAAGGAGTTTAAGATACAGCATCAGTAAGTAGTAATTGCAGCAAAATATCAGGGGGGCAATGAGCCCAGTAAAATGGGCACTGTCCCTTGAGAGTTGATCTTGCAATCCAATCAGCTACTCTATTTCCTGCACGAGGGATAAAAGAAAAGGAGAAATTAGGCCGAGAAGAACAAAAGCTTCTGATGTTGTGAATGATGGAGTGGATCTCCCAAGGAAGGGGTTGGTTTGCATGTTGTGCGTATGAGATCAAGGTCTCATTATCGGATTCGAAAATCACTTGGTCCAGTCCCATGTCCGCTGCTGATTGGACAGCCCTCAGTAATGCATTTGCTTCAGCCATAAGAGAGGAGGCAGTAGAGCATAACCACGTTCGTCCAGTAAGTATCTTCCCGTAAGAGTCTCTGCCCACCATGGTCAATGCCGTCAACCCGGAGTTAGGCATGAAGGAGGCGTCAACATTAAATTTCAAAAAGCCTGGTGGAGGACGAAGCCAAGCAGAGGTAACGTGTTTTCTTTGCATTGTCTGCTTTGGAGGCATGAGTAAGTCTCTACCAGGACATGAGCAAAATTCCTGAAGCATTGCATTAGCTTTGAACAAAATATGTTCAGGATTAAATGTAGCCTTTTCAAAATGTATCTTATTCCTTGCCTTCCATATATTCCAGCAGATGATTGCCCATTGCTCAAACAGATATGGAACACCCATTTGTTTTTCAGTCTCAGTTAAAAGACACCACCATTCTGCAAGATTTTGCAGCCTCAGTTGCCTCGGAATAAAACCCAAGGCTGAACCAAACTATACTGGTTCAACATGAGGGCAATAAAATAACATATGCATCAAGGACTCGTTATGAAGCTGACAGTTTGGACAGAGGGCATTGTTCACAACCCCT